CTAACCACTTGGCCACACGATCTCTCTCAAGGTTGTAATATTTGTTCTTTCTTTTTCGTCTGAATTTGTTCTGAAATAATACAATCTTGAACAAAAAAAAAAAAAAAGAAAAACAACTGAAAAGGAAAAGAGAAAATGAAGCTAATATTCAGGGGCTTGGACATCTCAGAAGAGTATAGAGAAAGAGTTCAATTTTCAGAACTATCCAGCAAATTTTTTGTTGTTGTCGTTGTCAAACGAGGTATTTCACAGTCATTACCGGCGATCTAGCTAATAAGCGATCTGGCTAATTAGCGAAGTAGCTGATTAGCGCGCGCGAAAAGTGCAATTCACCTGTCCGCTATATACTAATTTGGTTTGTTTATTCATAATTTTCTCATCGATATTAACCAATCGTTCCCTCAAAGTTTTCTTTATTTCTGTAGCACACAATGATAGTTTCAGCTGAAATCCAAGCGAGAGCTCTGTGTAATGGGGCGTTGATTTTGTTTTTTAGGTTTCAAGTGTCATAGGGACAAAATGGGAACATTAAGAAAAAATGAGATTTTCAAGGGGAGCTCAGCAATCCCTCGACAGAGTTCATGAGAAAATATGCACTTTATTTAAAAACTAGCAAGCAGCTGGGAACATGAAAAAAATAATCTGAGACTTCGTTAAGAATTTGAACATCAGACCTTCCCATGGTGCCTTAAACTACGGAGCTGCGTTACAAGCCAGTTTAGCATAGTGATAAGATCGGCAATCAATACTTGCCGGAATATTCATCAGAAACTTTCGAGGGGGAGGGGAGGAGACCCTTAGTAGGTGGAGTGAGAGCACTCGCCTCCTCACATGTAGTTCCGGCCTGAGTTCGACTCCCCAGCGATTCCGGCGATACTTGTGGGTTGACTTGGTTGCTGTTTTTTTTTTCTTTCGCCATCCTAATTTTTCTCCCAATATTGATAACATCTATACAATTTTTGGATTATCCAGAAAAATAAGAATTCCCGTGAAGAAAATAACCGCGATTGCTGTTGGAGAAGAGGTCGAAAAAAAATACAAAACAAGGAACGTCTCAGTGAACACGACGAAACAAATATCAAATTCCTAAAAGAGGCCATCGATTGCATACCTCTGGCAAATGAAGATGGAGCTGATTTTTAAAATAATTATCGCTTTCATTTTTAACCCTCCAAGCGGGCACTTTATTTTTATTGCAGGAAAGGGTGATTGGGAGGATGGAAGCAACAATATAACCTGTATATGTGTCCGCAAACCCTCGCTGATGTACCTCTGGAACAAAGGCACATTTGGTTTTTCTAGTATCACCTTGTCATTGTTTCTTGCTGAAGTAGTCATCAAGGCTTTTGGGTCTACTTGAGTGTAATCTTGGAGAGCTAAATAAAGGTTTTATGTCTCATTTATAGTTGCGCATTTTAGAGCCCCAAACACATTAGCCAAAGGTACCGGTTCAGTTAATTTCTTTGCGATGCACAGAACGCCACTGCCTTCTTAGTTCCCGATTGCTATGTTCTGAAAGCCGCTCTTGTAGATTAAATTGTTGAATAGTAATAAGTAAATACAGGGAGATTTTGGATGCGACCTCCCTTTGAAAGGTCTCTATAGAAAAAGAGAGTGTTGTGAAGTGCTATTACGATTAAAGGTTTTTTAAGGTTAGCATGCAAAGATTGTGCCAGTCTTACCCCCTTACAATAGGTTTGACTGTTGTCTTTATCTTCTAGTTGTTCGATTACTCGAACATGGATTTTTGTTTCTGAACTGGTCTGGTCGTGTTGAGTACATTATTTTGGGTTTTTTAAATTTCAATCGTAAAATGTTTAACTAATTATTGTATAGTCGTTGTGCGAGTCTTATCAAGTTCAGAAGCCCGCAAGGTCGAACTCGTAATTTTAACATTAACAATATAGTTTGTGCTGACTCTATTTTTGAGGCTTGTTTCTCGAACAAAGACATTCGTCAGTGGTCATGTTTTGATGTGTTTAGTGAACTTGTATAAAAAATACATTTGACCGGGTCAGAATTTTGAACAAGGGGTTAAACTCTGCAAAGACATTCAGCATATTACCCACATGCTCACTAATAAGGTGCTGTAGAGAGAGAGACAATTTGCTCAGTTATAGAAAATGTGATAAAGAAGAAGAGAACTAAGAGTCTTGTTGTCTCCTGATTGTGTGGATTTTCTCAAAAGCTAGTTTTCCCCGTCATTGCATCTTTACAGAAGGTTATACAATGGACAACTAACGAAGTTACTCAGACACTACGAGACCATTGCCAAAGTCGAAGGAAAAATGAAGAAAGTTTTGAAGCAAAAAGAAGAGATGTAAACATATTTTTACGTTGCTAACGCTACTTTATTTGATTATTCATAACAAGATATGTATAGAAAATCCCTGCATGCAATGATAGAAACTGATAGAGAGCCAATTGTCTTTGGCTGGGAATCGTCTGTGGAATTTGTGTGAGTTGATTAGCAAGAGAGTGTTATATTTTCTTGTAATGGTAATGAGGGGAAACCCCTTTCACGAAATCAGTTCATCAGAAATCAATGTAAATTAGTTGAATTTGTATTTCACAGATGATCGAGAAAATCAAGAACAGGAAACAGGGAACAAATTAAGCCTGTCTATGAACCTTTATTAATCGGCACCGTATTAAGCGCCAATTGTCCAAGACAATCGAGGGCCAGTTGTCTTTGGTTGGGAATCGTCTGTGGAATTTGTGTTATTTGATTAGCAAGCGAATGTTACAGTTGCTTTCAGTGGTAATGAAGGAGAAACCCCTTTCACGAAATCAGTTCGAGACAATCATGTTTACCTTCTACAAATAGCTCCTCTTGAATTGCTCTCAGTAGGTGTGCAGACAATTTAATAATTAAACGCTCTTTGCCTTTGTTCGAGTATAATTTGAGAGTACCATAAATCTATTATTTTGATTCTTAGCCCCTGCAATCCAATTTATCAGGAAGCAGCCCAGCTTGGGAATAGATATATTTTTGTCAACATTTCATCAATGCCAAAATCAGATAGCAGAGCCAACTTGACAAGGTGCAATTATATTTCACAAGAGAGTACAAATTATCTTGTATTTGAACAATGCCATCCACTCGAATAAAGAAAGAATCTTTTAATACCCTTTGTGCCAGATGAAATCTGTTGATTTCGAAATAAAAGGGTTCAAAGCATTTCTAGGGTGAAATGCCAAAATAATGGGAGATGGAAAGCGCTGGTTAGCGTAAATACGAAGGATACAAAATGCAGATCTTAGTATTACTGAGGGCCATTTTAATGATTTTTAAAGTATATTGATGAACGTAGTTATTCAGAAATTGGTTCTCTTGAGTCAATGCAGAACTTTAGCTCTCTGAAATGTATTGGTTCTTCTGAAACAATTTCGAGAAATGCAAATCCCGTTGTTTATTTAGTTAACTTCTGGCACGACATGATTGTTTTATCACAAGGTTTGTTTGACTTGAAAATACACACTGGCATATATTTTTTTATAAACGGCTACACCTATTAAGTTTCACCCTCTTAATCCGACGTCAACCGCACACTTATGAATTATTTAAAAGAGTACAAAGGTGTAACTTCTAGCAATCTGCCCTACTGACCTTCAGAGCCGTAAGTTTCTTCTAGATAAGCGACAAACAATAGGATGTACAACGAAAACTTCTGGATATCCATGTTTACGTCTCAAAATAAGTTACTGTCGGTTGAGGTTTGTGAGATATCTTATCAAACGAGTTAAAAAAGTTCCCAGTTCCTTCTTAATGCAGGATATCTGCGTGCTGGAACAAGAATACGGGTTCAATTGTCCATTTTGAACAGGAGTGAGGCTAAGGTTGACCTTGTTATGATACAAACCCTGCTGCTTTTCTAATGCAAATTACTTTGTTATCATGCTAACTAGATACTGATCTCTATCACAACGTTAACAAGGTCACCTTCAGCCTCACTCCAAATCAAAGGCTTGGTAACCAAGTACATAACTGTTAAATTGCCTATTCAAAGGGAAATAGATTGTCTAGAAATCATGAGTACTGCGAATGTTGTGGAAATGCACAATAAAGTACCCTATTGATAAAGTAAATAACACAATTATTAGGTCATTTAATTCAGCATCCCGCTGCATGATCCTTCACGATAAAGTTTTATAGCGAAAAGTGGGGCCCTTCGCTCTGATGCCGAATCATCTCCAATACATAATTTGCGTAGTTATATTTATGCTATACAGATACGGCAAGTCTCAATGAATCCATTTCTCCCTTTGGTAATGTTTGGTTGAGTGGCGTGAAACACACGTCTTAGCATACATTTTGGTGGTTTATCAGTAACATGACCCGCCCAAACTGAGTTAGAGTATTGTCACTGTTCTCGAAATAAACCGTTTTTCGTTGCAGTAAACACCACCAAAACCAGGTGATGAAGTTTGGTACATGAGAAGTCCTTTAGGAAAGAACCATTTGGCAAATTTATTTCCAAAGCCGTCAAAAATTCTGGAATACGCAGTAGAGTCATTAACCACTCTATACGGACTTCGTCCATCTCACGTCTCCTTTCAATGCAAGATGCAGATACCTCAGAAAATTTTGTTGGTTTATAACATAACTATTAGCTGTAAGTACTAACCTGGTTTTTTCTGCTCGATTTGGGCCATAAATCGGAGCGAAAAAAACTCGGTCCGTAGCGTGCAGAGCGGCCCTCGAACTCGGTTGGTAAGAGGTATCTCGTGCTCTCCAAACTTCCCGCGTACATCCATACCTCGATTTTCGCACGCTAAGCATGGACCAATTCTCTATTACAACATAGCGCGTGCTTGCCCTATATAAGTTCCATTGAGCTGCTATGAACAAAATCTTTGTTTACGCACGCCCGTGCGTTAATAAGATGACGTGAGCATTTTTTTTACCTGGCTTCAGAGTTTCCGTCCTTTTAAGGTGATTCCCTTGTTTTGCACTGCGCAACCTTTTTCTGCGCATAACATTAATTGCGACATCCAAGATGGCAGCTGTTCTTCCCGCTTGCGTGAAAAGAACAGACAAGAGCCGCTTTTGCAGAGCGAAAGCTTTTATTCATAATAAGAATGCCGCAAATCGGCTGACAGCTTCCTGGTCTGCTCTCAAAAAACAAGAAAATGAAAAAAGTGTGCGTGATCTGGAAGTCTGCAGTGGATTTCCACTTCGCGGCCGTCGAGTTGTAGAATTAAATGTCCTCCCTGAGGCTTTGGACGGGGGCTGTGAAGCCTGTGGGGCAGCTCTACGGCTCTCCAACTGCATAAAAGAAACAGTGTCTGGGCTAGGATCACTACTATACGTATGCTGTTCAAATTCCGAGTGTGGAGAGACAAATATCTGTCGAACAAACAAGACCCACCGTAGCACCGGAACAACGCGAGGGAGACCAATCTTTGATGTAAACACGAAGCTCGCTGCAAATTTTTTTTACATTTAACGTTGCTAAAAATATTGTTTTCCACAGTTAAAGCATCCATTTAACATCTAGCCAATTTTTTAATTAGTTGAATCGACATATTTATGGGGACGCTACACGCAGGCATAGGTCCTACCCACGTAAACGAGTTGTTGTCATCTATCAACGTAACATCACATGGAGAGTCCACGCTGAAGGCTCGCGAGAGGGAAGTAGGGCCCCAAATTGAAAAGTTGGCAAAGGAATCATGTCTGGAAAGTTTAGAAAGCGAAAGAAACCTGTGGAAAGAGGATAATGAAAAGGAAAATGTGGCGATAGGAGCGTCATTTGACATGGGATGGCAAAAAAGGGGAAAAGCCCACAACAGCCTGACAGGTACACTGCAAATTCTACATCTGAAAGAATTGAAAAGGGTGCATTTGGGTATGCATTTTCATAGAAAGCTGTTATTTTTTTTCTGTGGATTGTTCTTTGGCTAACTGACAGTTTTGGTGTCAGCCAATGGTCAAAGTTAATTAAATAAAATATATCCGTATTTTCACCATTAGGTGTTGGCTCCATGGTTGGCCTAAAAACTGGCAAGGTGATTTGCTATGGTTCAAGGTCAAAAAGGTAATGTGTATACATATATTTTGACTACTAGTACCTTGTTTTAAACAACAAGAGCAATGTTTTTTTTTTCAATTTGACCACAAAAAGTACAGAGTCATTCAACATATTACAGCACCCATATTTGCCTCCTCTTGAAAGTGTTACCCAGGACCTTTACCCATAATGTCTTTTGTAAAGGTGTGCAACATGTGAAACTGCCAGCAGACAATCAAAAAAGCCTCGCATACACGACTGTAGGCTCAACTGGGAAGGCTCATCAAAAGCTATGGAAGCTGATGTTTGTGTCGATCTAGTCAAAAGGTAATTACTAACCTGGTATATAATGATAAAAATTAAATAATAGTTATAATAATAGTTGTTAATATGTTGAATTCACAGTGTTATTGCTCCAAAGAGAGACTTGTGGAATCTGTTCTTATGATATCTGTGTTACAGTAATGACACTTGAACCATGAACAGTGGAGAGTCTTACAGTACCTCACACCCTTGGTAATAATGGCTGAAAATTTGACAAGAAAGCAAACATAAAAATGCACCTATAATTTTTTAATAATAATAAAAATGCAGAAAAGAAAATACTTTAAGATAATGCCTAGGTGTAGTTTGAATGCCCTTGCTTTTTATGTCAAAAAATGTTATTTTTGTGGCTTTACTCTGCTTAACAGTTGTGGAGAAAAAAATGCAGTTGTATCTGTTCTTGTTGGGGATGATGATTCATCCACCATAAGCAAAGTGAGGAAAAATGTTGAGCACGAGGTTGAAAAATGGTCAGATGTAGTCCGTACTAAAAGATCCTTTGGTAGCTCACTATACCGTATCAAGACCCAAAACAAAAGCCTGACAGATATGGTGATACGGTATTTCCAGCGATGCTTTGGTTATGCACTAAAGCAGGATAAGGGTGATGAAGAAGGTGTGCGAAATGGTCTGAAGTCTATCGTGCCCCATGCTTATGGTGACCATTCTTCCTATGGCAACTGGTGTGGCTACTTGAAAAATCCTGCATCCTACAAACACAGAGGCCTTCCCCATGGCAAGGATCTGACAGACAAAAACTTGAGGCAGTCCCTGGAAAAGATCATAGAAGTAGGTATAGTGTACATGTATGGTGGTACAGCTTGCTCCTCACAAATTCCCAATTCCCGCCATTTTACATGTAGTAGAGAAACACAACTCTAAGAAAATAATGTTAGTACTTATGATTGTATTCTAAATAATAACTTCGAGGGATAAAGCTATAAGTGTTAGGGGACTATCAACCTCTTTCTTAGTTTCACAAGCTTTATAAGATACCAAATTTTAGTAAATAAAAACCATTTGCTTCTTCAATTTAGGTTTATGCTTCAAATGCCAAGAAGCTAGCTCCCCTTGGGTCGAGCCAGGCAAATGAAGCACTCAACAACACTATAGGAAGCAAAGCTCCAAAGATCAGGCACTACGGATCTAACGAAAAAGCAACAACTTCTGGGTTGCATGTGCTGTTGGACAAAAGAACTTAGGCCATTCTTATGTTTCCCAGGTGAGCAGATATAATATCATGAGCATTTTGTACACTTCCCAATTTGTGAGATCCATTGAACATGACACATTATCCAATGTGTTCAGTGTTATACCAACAGTACCTATTGCATATAATTAGTCACCAAAAAAAATTAAAAAAACACTCTACTATAGCTTAGACTATTGTTTTTGCTAAGACAGGTGAATTTCTTTTAGGCTTTTATGAAGACACAACTGTCGCCAGGTTCGAATTCTTTAAAATTTGCAAGGAAAATGAACAAGAGAATCCTGAATTTGAAAGAGAAACAGAAAACAAGAGAGTATAAGAAGAAAAGTAATTGAGAAGAAAGAGAACCGATTGAAAAAAACGAAACAGCTTGAGAACAGAGAAGGACAACAATATAGTTCTGGAATGGGCTTCGATGGACACAATGCCACTTAGGAAATTCCAGCACCACCTGCAGTCTCAAAGATGGAGAAAGTATTGTTAAGCAAAGACCATCATCAAATCATATTTGATTTGGAAACATCTGGAAAGGGTAATTAGCTTTGCAGGGTGGAGTTCAGCAAAAAAGTACTAAAGTGAATATAGCCATGTTTGTCTTAGCAGGGTATTTCTGAATTGCACATTAGAGAATAATTATATTTAATCATGGAATTGTTTTCCTATTTTGTTAGATTGCTGAAGACTCATCCTGCTAATTTGCATCACATAGATTCCTTTGTTTTATCATGCCTTGTTCTTAAAGAAAATAGGTGGGATGCAAATTAGTAGGACAGGTATTCAGTAATTGCTCGTTCTACCCTTGCGAACTGAATTCCCAGTTTTCTGGGAATTCCTAGGAATTCTCAAAAATTCCCAATTATGCAAATGACCCTTGCAAACCAAATTCCTAGTTTTCTGGGAATTTCTGGGAATTCCTAGGAATTCCTAAAAATTCCTAGGAATTCCTAGGAATTCCTAGGAATTCCTAGGAATTCTCAAAAATTCCCAACTATGCAAATTAACTCTGATTTAAAAAGCTTGGAATTACTGGGAATTTCTGGGAAAGGAAGACTCCAGTTTTGTGAGGACTTGGAATCCCTAGGAATTCTCAGCTTTACAAACTACCTATAATTTAAGAAGTGTGGAACTCTTGGGAATTTCTGGGAATTGAATTTGAGGCAATTTTAATACCCTGAGGTCCACATAAATTCTAAGAAATTCTCAATACCTTGAATGTGAAGGTTTTAAGAAAAAGAGTAATTTCAGAGGCTTAAAACTTTGGCTCAATAAAAGGTATGCTATACAAAACTTACCAAGAGATATACATACATGTGCATGTTTATAACTTAAAGATCATGAAATTTATTACTCAAACTAAGTTTTAGTAAATCTTTACATTAATATGGATTTTCTCATGAACCAGCCGTCAGTTATGTTAAATGGAAATTGCCAACTTCCACAATAATTAAAAATAATTACATTGTCATCTTACTTCCCTAACCTACATTACTGGTTGCCTTTGTTAGAAAACCTTGGAACAGTCAAGCTCAGTTGCCTCAAACGCTGTCAGAGACTTTTTGTTGACAATACTTTTAGTAGAAATTTCATGCCTTAGACAAACAAATTCAACACCTAATTAATCTTTCTTTTTTCATGATTGTTGTTGCTGCTTTTTTTTTCAGTTTTTTGCTCTATTTTCATGACTAATTGCTGTAATTTGTTTTGCTGTTTTTATTCTTACAAAACATTTTTGTAAGAGTTCCAATACTTGTGGATCATCCACACACTTTGCAAACATTTGGCATGCAGACAAGACAGAGGTAGTCAATGTTCCCTTAGAGGAAAAACACCTTTTATATGACTTCTTCAATTTACTTTATTTGAAACTCTGATCTGAAAATATTTGTCAACAAGACTTGTTAGTAGTGAGAAGTACCAACCAAGTTTCCTTTCATAACTTAATTTCTTAAATGTCCCAATCACTGGATCTCCCAAAAAAATATTACATCTTTTTATTTTTGGTGCAAATTACAAGTCCTTCTTTATATAAAAATGAAAAGTGATAGTCACACTTCAATAATAACAGCTCTTAAGTTTACTTGTTGTTCTTCTCTGTCTGTCAGCTATCAACAAGATTGTTTTATACTTCGGGCAGTGCATAACTAATTGTGGACCAGAGTTCCAACGCACCTCTGTAATCGCATATAGCTACTCCTGTCTCTTGTACAAATGTTTCTCCTTTGTAAGACGCACTCTACTCTGTTGTCAATACTGCTTTAAGTTCAGTGGAAACGACTGACTGAGGAATCGAGATGGCGGTGTTGGAACGTGTTGCTGAACGCTTGCTACGGTCAAGCTTTGTAGATTTAGGTACTGGTACACTGGGATCATCTATGTATCTCTTATACTTCCGAATGTGGTATCCTTCTTTTATAAATATGAGGGTAAAAGACGATTTGTAGTCGCATTCAAAACTGTGATTGGCTTGTGTTATTTCTCACCTTGGCCATTAACACAACTCAAGTGAGTTTCGAGTCTTTGTTTCCTCGACAACTTTCGGCCACAAATCGTGCATTTGTGGCCGAATACAAAACAGTACAAACAGCAGCTAAGTTTGCAGTTTAGGATAACTTCATTCTAATTTATTGTTACAGTTACAACAAGATTTTAATCAAAAAATCAATTTTATTTGTCTGTAATTAGCCCCTTCACTCCCAAGAGTGCTTGGTTTTCAAATATAACTTAAGATATTGTATTATGGAAAAGAATCAACAGATTTTATTCACAATTTGTGTCAAACCAAATTTAATGATTGATTAGAACTATTTTATATGAATAGCTGTAATTGAGGATTAATCCGTATGAAGTTTTCAAGAAAAGAAAAATAAATCAAATTCAATCCTAATATTACCACACATTGATGTTAATTAATCAAAAATATTTTACATGTAAGCCTTAATTAAGCTTCTAAATAAATTTCATTGAATACTTGAATTTTAGCTGGGTTTTTTTTAATTTAAAGTATTTATTTTATATCATTAGCCTCAAATTTTTGCTTAAAATTCCCAGTAATTCTTAAACATTCCTAAAAATTCCCAAAAATTCCCAAAAATTCCCAGAAATTCCCAGAAATTCAGAATTCCCAGAAATTCCTAGGAATTTTTTAGATTTACAGCTTTTCAGGGAAAGTCATTGGTTCTCTGAGTTGGAATTCCTAGGAATTCCTAGGAATTCCAAGTCCTGTTGGCTATAAACTTGGAATTTCTGGGAATTTCTGGGAATTTCTAGGAATTTCTAGGTTTTTAGAACCAGAGTTGTTATGGTTGGGAATTCCTAGGAATTCCCAGTCCGAATTTACCGTGAAAATTCACACCTTTATTCCTAGGAATTCCTAGGAATTCCTAGGAATTCCAAAAGCCATTTCGCAAGGGTATTTTTATTTCCAATATCACCTGCATAGATGCACTAAGCTTTTTTATTACATTTTTCCTTGTAATATCTTTGTAAAGTAATAATTGGATTACAATACCTTAAAATTTGTTTATCTTTGTTGACATCAGGTAATGATTCGATTCAACTAATTAATCCTACAAATTGCAGCAACAGATGATAAAGATGATTTCTCTATTTATGTCAAGCCTTGTCATGTAATATCAGCAGAAGCATCTGCTGTGAACAAACTCACCTTCCAAAGAGGAATGCTGTTTTATGATGGGAAGCCAATCACTGATGTCCTTGCAATTGATGTGGCCCTGAAGAAATTCATTGAGTGGCTCAAGTCAAGAATGCCTTGCATTTTAGTTGCACACAATTGCAAATCCTTTGATGCCAGGTTCTTGGTGCAAGCAGCAGAGAAAAATGGAGTCATGGATGACTTAGCTAAAACTGTTTCTGGCTTTACAGACTCTCTTCCAGCATTCAGGGAATTGCTCCCTGAAAGAAAATCCCATAGCCAGGAAAACCTTGTACAAGATCTTCTGTGTAAATCCTATGAAGCTCACAATGCTCTTGCAGATGTGCAAACACTCTACCAGCTGGTGAACAAGTTTCTAAATGTCAAACTGCTACAAAAGCACAGCTTCAAAGTTTCATGGGTGGCATCCTATCAGAAGCTCCTAAAAGAAAAGAATCTTCTGGTTAATACCCTACAGCCATTAGTTAGAGAGAAGTACATTTCTGCCTGAATGGCCATTAAGTGTGCAAGCTCGGATTTGGGTCTCCATCACCTACAAGTGGTGTACCAAAGAGGCAAGGAAGAAGGGGTGAAGCAAGTTCTGATGGAGAGGTTTGACAACAAACCCAGAGTCTCCTCAAACAAGCGAGTGCTGGCACAAATATGTCAGTACTTTATAGATAATGCAAATTAAGATTGCAATTTGTGCAATTAATGTTTTGTAAAACTAATATTTACTCTTTTGGTTTGGTTGCAAACAAGAATGCAAACAGTAATTCTGAAAGGGTATATATTAATATTATATTCAATTCAATTCTGTGGAACCAACGACCAAGAGGATCAACTTAATTTAGTGACATGTTGAAGCATGAAAGTTGTACAAAATGTAAAAAGTTTGAAAATCATTTTTGCACGGAAGATTTACAAATTTTAAAGTACAATTTGTATTTTTCAGAGTATACTACATTGTACTGTATATATCACTCTTGTTAGAGTGATGGGTGAAGAATTCACATTTTTCTGTATATAGAAACCAAACAAGAAAACATACAAAGAATAAGGATCAACAGTCTTTTTCTTCAAGTTTCTTTGTCAAGCCTTTATTGCCCCAAAGCAAACAAAATCGAACCTTAGCTCACTGGAATATTAACAAAACGCCAGCGCTACAAAATTGTTTCAACTAAAGGTTCATAACTATAAAATCTCATCAAATCTTGACTTAACTCATTCTTTGTTATTTTTGCATCTTCCCAAGTATGAATTTCAGTGTTGGCAATATCAAACACATAAAAACAACCGAAAACAAGCTTAATATCGAGAGCAGACTTCAAACACGATGG